GGGGAAGGAAGGGAAGGGGAAGGGAAGGGTAGGGGAGGTGTTAGGGAGGGCCCACAGGGTCTTCAAAGTTTGTGGTCAAGTTCTTGTTCTTAAACTGAGTGTGGATGATAACTGGGTGCACATTGTTAATATACCCATACATACTTAATAAAATTCTGCTATATCTACTGACTATTTACAAAAATAATGTAAAAAAGAACAAAATAGATTAAATGATAAAAAAAACAACAACCTCAAAACACTAATACTTTCCCCCCCACACCTCAAGGGGTTACCCTGTATACTCCTAGAGTCTTCAACTTTGGAGACCATTTGATATGATATGATATAATATGTTTGTATTATACTTTTATATTATTGCTATAATATATATAATTCATATATATATAATTCATATATAATTACTAGAGGTCCAGTGCACGAAATTCTTGCAAGAGTAGGCCTCCCTTCCCCCGGCTGCCAGCACCAGCTTCCCTCTGGCACCTGGGATTCAGGCTTCCCTCACAGCCTCAGTTTCGTCTGGAAGGTCACCCAGTCTAATTAGCATATTATGCTTTTATTATTATAGATATGAATAATCATATGTAAGTATTACATTATTTATATGTAATGGTATAGTGTATTTTGTGATATATTATTAACATATAATATTTTTATTTCAAAGGATGAGGCTTTTCGCCTAAAAAGGCAGTGCCTGGAGATGAGAGCAGAGTAGGGGTGTAAGTGCAGCTTGGCATTAATGGCGGCATGAGAACCATTGCGCTTGCTCACCCAGTGAGGTGTTGCCCAGGACGAGAGGCGCTTCCGGGTGCTTCGCTTTCAGCTCCAGGAGATCCTTGAGGGTCCCAGGGGAGATCCAGGTGACCCTTTCTCCACGAAAGGTCAGGGTTCTTTCTTCTGGGTTCTCTGCCAGTCTCTACGTGCAAATGACAATGTGTGTGCACACCTGTCTTCCCGGGTTAGGCAAGATCCCGGGCGGAGGCATGTTCCTCTAGAGCAGTGGTTCTCAACCTTCTGGCCCTTTTAATACAGTTCCTCATGTTGTGACCCAACCATAAAATTATTTTCGTTGCTACTTCATAACTGTCATGTTGGTACTGTTATGAATCGTAATGTAAATATCTGATATGCAGGATGGTCTTAGCTGACCCCTGCGAAAGGGTCGTTCGATGGCCAAAGGGGTCACAACCCACAGGTTGAGAACCGCTGCTCTAGAGAGATTCCAGGTGTGAGGTCCACTCGACCTAAAAGACACTCATGACACCTGTTGGCTAATGACTGAATTTCCATCACTAGGGATTTACTCCTTTAGCTTAACACTGTTTTCATGTAGCTCTTCAGAGACAAGTGACAATATGAACTGGCACCTGTCACTGACCCTTCAGTATAGAGCAATTTAACATAATTTAGTATCGTGGCCTTAAAAATCATAACTATACTAATGCTCTTAAGTTAATGTATTCAGCCTGGACTTTTCCTCCAAAATCCAGACTCATATACCTAAAGGAGTACTCAATGTCCGCTCTTAGATGTGTAATAGGCATCTCAAATTCAACATGTTCACACCAAGGTCCTCATATTCTATCCCCTTCCAAGGCCCCAAAGGAATCCCCCCCCAAAGAAAAAAACTCTGCTCCTCAGGAGGTCTCCTTCTCCATAAATGGCCACTTTCCAGCTGCCCAAAGCCTCGTCTCCCCTCTCTGTCCCACACCCACATCACATCCACCGGCAAATCCTGTCTGCTCTTCTTCCAAATCCTGCTGCTCACCATCTGCACACTGGCAGCTGTTCCAGCACCCCCATCAGCACCCTGACTGGGCTCCCTGCTTCTCTCCCCTGGCCCCTCCATAGGCTACTCCCATCCCAGCAGCCAGCATGACCTCACATCCCACGACAACATTGATAGGAGATACCCCTCCTCTGTTCAGCCTCCCCGATAGCTTCTCATCTCACAGGGAGTAAAACCTAGTAAGTCCAGGTATGGTCTGTGCCCCCTGTCCTGACCCCCACCCCAACCTTGCCCCCCTCCCCCACAGCCACGCTGGTCCCTGCTCTGTCCCTTCATCAGGAGGGCACTCTCCCATCGCTCACACCTTTACACTTGCTGTCCCACCGTTCGGTTTGCTCTTCCCCCATATACCTTCGTGGCTGGCTCCTCCCTTCCTTTAGGACTTTCTTCAAATGGTACCTCTCAGAGAAGTCTTCCGTTCACTGAGTATTTAAAATTGCAACCCCTTGCATCCTATTCCTCTTTTCTGTTTTATTTTTCTTTCTTCTCACTTGTCTCTCTTATCTTGCTAATTGCCTGTCTCTCCCACCAGATCATGTTTAAACTCCTCCAGGTCTTTGTGTCCTTTTGTTTCCTACTGCACACTCAGTAACTAGAGCAGTGCCTGGCACGTGGCTGAAGGATAAATGGTTGTTCAATGCATGGAGCAATACACCAGAACCCCTTCAGAATTAGGTATTTTGTAAAACTGCACCGGATAGAGATGCTGCTAGAGCAGTGGTTCTCAACCTTCTGGCCTTTTAAATACAGTTCCTCATGTGGTGACCCAGCCATAAAGTTATTTTCGTTGCTACTTCATAACTGTCATGTTGCTACTGTGATGAATCGTCATGTAAATATCTGATATGCAGGATGGTCTTAGGCGACCCCTGTGAAAAGGTCGTTCGACCGCCAAAGAGGTCGCGACCCACAGGTTGAGAACCGCTGTGCTAGAGGATGAGGAAAGGGTGTGGGTGGCTGAAAGTGATTCTTAGGGTTAACGTACTGGAGGGGCCAGAAAGACCAAGTGAGAGGTTGAGCAAAGCTGTATGGCTTGGGACAGTCAACAGGGACACATATGATGATGTCACTTAAAAAATGGCCTCAGCTGAGGCTTTGGGGAGTGTGTCCAGGGCAACATCAGGGCTTGGTGAGCTGAGCAGGGACAAGCCTGTTGATCTGACCAAACATTCCCATGATTTGACAGATTTCACAGGAAGAAAAGGGTAGTTTGAGCAACTGAGTTTATAACCAGTGACATTTAAACAAGCACATAGAACACCCGGTTCATCTTACCAAGAGTTCTGGGGGGAATATGAGCTCCTGAGTAGGGTCCAAGGGCTGGAACTCGTCTTTCGCAAATAACTCTGTGGAAATCTTTATAAAGGGCAGAAGAAGAGGGCTCAGTCAGCCCAGCTCGACTGGAAACAGCACCCCAGGGATTTACATTAATCAGGCACTATGAACTTAGTAATAACTTTCCTACTCTTCTTACCCAGGGAAATGGTTCGAACCAATTTGTGTTAAGTAAGAATTTTATTGTAAGAGAGAGAGATTGATGAGCCACTAGTAGGATACTGAAGAAAAGGGTGTTCTATGAGATACCTCAAACAGTACCCTGTGGAACATCAACAGAGTCTATGAAAAATTATCAGAGGTTAAGTAGATTGGGATTCAAACCACTATCCTCTCACCTGTCAAGTCAGGATTCAAAGTGCTAAAAGCACCGAGAAGTCCTGTAGCTTAAGAAAAAATGACTCTACACCTACGTGCCTCTGTGTAAACACACACGCACACCCCACTAATTTTAACAATAATAGTTAAAATTGTTGGAGTGCTTTTTTCCCAAGAGCCATACATGTTAGTCATTTATTTAATCCTTCCAACAACTGTGCAAAGAAGGTAAATTATCATCTCCATTTTAACGATTAGGAAACAAAACCTCAACGAAAAGTTACCCAAACTGCAATCTTGTTTAAATAAAAAATGTTCTAGCTTTGGAAACACTTATTCCCAGAAAACATTCCTGAGGAGGTGAGGGGAATTGGGGAAGCAGTGTGGGTGCAGGGCTAGAGGTCTGAGTAATACGGTAGAGCATGGAGAGAAGTTGGGGCAGACAGCTCTGGGTTCATTCTCAGCTCTGCCATGACTCCGACCCTCCCTCTGGAAAGGTTCTTCCTTTTAAAGGCTAAACGGAAATAATGCATATTTTGAGGGTAATTGTGACCCTTAGGTAAAATGGCCTGACATTTATCTCACACTGTCCATTTTTTTTTCTGTCTCTGAGGTCTTCTCAGTATCTGGACAGAAAACATGCCATTGTTCCTTGTAAAGGTTCTGAGTAGGACCCAGATGGAAGCATTACAGGCCAGCATCTGAAGGATCAGTTTTTGTGTTAGTTGGGTTTAGAAGTGTAGGCAGTATGTAGGAGCAATGATGTGGTGTATCTCTAAAACCTAGAAATAAGACTGCATCTGAGAATTAAAGTGTAAAACAAACATAATGAAGAATTAAAAGGTCCCCCTCACAGGTGCTGGGCCAAGACCTAACAGTTACTCATTGGAAAATATTAACAGCTCCCAGAGAAGAGTGGGTCTGTGCAGACGTCTGGTCTACCCTGGTGGAAGAGGGGGTCTTCTATAATGTTACCCTTATGGTGATTCAACTGCTCTGCACCCAAGCTCACCAAGCAAGCTTCTCACATTGTGGCTCCCTGGGTGTGCTTTCTGCAGGGGAAGGACATGGGGCTCAGTGATCATAAGGTCCACTTCATATCTGTGTTTCTCTTTATAACGGAACATCAGGGCCCACCATGTTCTTTTGGGTTGGTTAAAGTACGTCAGGTGGTTTCCAGAGCCCAGGTTGAATTCCCAAGGCCACCAGATCGAGAATCAGACTTTCAAATGTACTGATCCCGGCAAGGCACTCATTTTCTGTGAAATGCTCATGGGGTTGGGGGCGGGGTGCAGCCATTTTCCTTTGCAACACCCTTCTGTTCATTGCACGCCTTCTTCAGACCAAAATGCAGGGACAGTAGGGGGCCAAGAATGGGAATAAGGTAGGTCCGCGGGACTCAGTTTCCTCTGAGGCTGACTCTGTTCTCTTGGATTTCCTCATCTACAGGAGCCAACTCTAGCCTGTATTCTGGCTTCTCTAAATAATTCATTTAAGAACTTGGCAGTGAGTCTTTTTGGAAACCAGTATCTCTGAGAGAGCAAAACCAGGGACTGGGATGTCTCAGGCTGGCCTTCTAGCCCTGTGGCCATGACCTCACCATGACTCCAGATGGGCTCCTTCCCCTTCCCAGAGGCTGCAGTGCCCTCCATACAAAAAAGGGGACACAGCAATAGAGGACCACTGCCAGCCAAAATCCAGGCACTGAGACCCACCTCTCCCCAGTGGGACTCATCATTGAGGTCATTGCTGGTGTGGGTCTATCTTCTCTGGCCTGAGCGGGCTTTTGTTTAGTTTCAGCCTCCCCGAGAGCCAAGAGGATAGTCAGATCACAGACTTTGAGTCACCCCCTAACCTGCCTCCCAAATGACAAGTGCTTTATCTGTGCAGGCACTGGGGACACTTGGAACAAAGCAGAGAATGAGCATCAGAACTAATGAGCACAGTGTCAACACTGGGCCGGCGTGGAGCAGCGCTCTCAGGGAGAGAACAAATCAAACACGGGGACTCACATCGCTGCTCCTGCCGAGTGAGGAAGAATCCTCTTCTCCCTGAGCCAAGCAGCATCCTCCTGCTCCCTTCTGCTGACAGCCGTTCAACTCCTAAGAAGGTGAAATGCCTTGAGATGAGAAACTTTCTCTTATAGGTAAATGGCCCTGTGCCTTGAGAGGTTTGGCAATTTAAATGAGACAACATTGTTTGTCACTTTTAGGTAATTTCTATTGGAAAAGGCATCATCAGAAGATCTTTCTCCTTTCTACTTTATTTTTAAAGTAAAATGATACATATGGAATATATAAAACTTATATGTAAGATATACCAAGTATCTAATCTATATACATAAAAGCCTAAGTGACCATCCAACCATCTGACCATCCGACCAGTAGCTATGACACACAATGACCACCAGGGGACAAACGCTCAATGCAAGAGCTGTTGAGCTGCAATGACTTGGCAGCTGCGGTTCTCAGGTGATGCACCCGGAACCAGAGAGGAGGAAGCCCCATTCTGGGGTGCATCACCAGAGAACCGCCCTCTTGCAATCTAGGACCCCTCAGGGGACGTGAAAGAGCCAGTTTTGGTCCCATCCCTGTAGGCCAGGCCGAGGGACCCCACTGGTGCATGAATCTGTGCACCGAGCCTCTAGTTATAGTATAAAACAATAATATAGACTATAGAGAAGCATAAAAGAAATAAACTATTATTACCCTATTTCACTGGCAATATTTTTACATAATATATAATGGTACTATATTTTAATACAACATACTTATTTTGTCTTTTTGCCTATTGTTTTGTTTATTTACTTACCTATTTGTTTACTTACCTAGAGTAATTTTCCATGTCATTAAAACATAATTTTGCTGATTGCATAATAATCAATCTTCTGGATTTATACTTGTAAAATTTGCTATTGACATATACTTAGGTCTTGCCTACATTTTCTAATTATAAATAACATTATAATAAACATTTCTGTCTATTGCTTGTACAATTTTGTGTACATCTCTGAATTTTTTTTTAAAAATATATTTTATTGATTTTAGAATTAATTGGTAAGATGTCTTTCAGGGCAATAACTATCCATTCTCTAGCATATATAAGACTCAACAACATTGAATGCTATCACTTATATAAGGACCTTGAAAAAAGAAAAGAAAAACATGAAGAAAGATGGGTAAAGAAAACCACTTTGGTAACCAGACATTTGGGATCTGCATGGGGCTCATTGGGAATGAATGGACAGTCAATGGATTTTAAAGCAGTTTTCCATTTGCCGGCTCTTTATTTCCCATTTTCCCCTAACTCACCTCTTGTATCCTCTTCCTTAAATAATTTTCCCTAAGCATTTAAGGAAATACTTCCAGATACCCCAGTTCTCTGTTTCTGCTCAACTGCCTCAGGCTGCCAGCTTCCTGATTCCGTTCACTATGCTCTTTCATTTACTCAGTCCTCCCACAGCTCCCTGGAGGGGCCATGGGTCAATGATGACAGAACAAGCCAGTCTTCCTGGCCTATTAGCTAGGAACCTCAAGTAGCCCCACTAGGGCTCTGTTCCTTTCACCCCCTTTTTTTAAAAAAAACTTTTTAGTATATTTATTTATTGAGTTCAGAGAGGAAGGGAGAAGGAGAGAGAGAGATGGAAACATCAATGATGAGAGAGAACCATTGATCGGCTGCCTCCTGCACGCCACCTACTGGGGATCGAGCCTGCAACCCAGGCATGTGCCCTTGGCCGGAATTGAACCTGAGACCCCTCAGTCCGCAGGCTGATGCTTCATCCGCTGAGCCAAGTCGGCTAGGGCCCTTTCACCCCTTAAAGTTTCTGGGGCCTGCTGGCTGCAAGGTGCATCTCTGACTACACTTTTGCCTTTATCCCCATAGGGAGAGAGGTTTCCTTTAACCTGCTTTACTGTATTTGTGTTTCACAAATGCTTTTCCATTTACACCGGCAGTTTTGATGAGTTTACAAAAGCTATTGATTTTCTCAGCTTGTCATCCTTGGCTCTCCATGTGGCAAAAGTCTAGGACAGGTGTGCAAGGGGGACTGGCCTGGCTCTGGGGACTGGGACATACTGCCAGGCCCACAACTACTGTTTGTGGAGCTGCAGCAGCAAGAGAACAAACAGAGGCCCTCGCACCCTTCTCTGCCCAGCTTGGCTTGGTTCTACAGCGAGGGGCCTCAAACACCGTGTGAGCACCCAGCCTGACTATCCACGCTCTGTCTATTCTCTCCAAAAACACCAGTCATTGGCCATCCTTCAGCCTAGGTGCACACACTGGCTGCTATGATCTGCTCTAGGAAGATGGACTTGGGAAGAGGCTGTGTCAGGCCTGGGATTGGGGTCAAGACCAAACCTGGATCCTGGTCTAGAAAAGAGGTGAAGGCTTCAGGTGAACAAGTCACCTTGGACCCAGGGCTTCCTGAGAGTGGCTGAAGGAGGACCAGTGAGGGGCCCTTCAAAGTGTGGGGTCCTCCTTGCTTGGGTCGAAGGGTGGTACTGCCCACACCAATCCTGCCCTTAGGAGAGGGCCATCGGATGTGCCTGGCTGGTCTCCCCGTCAATCTCTATTCACAGTGGCAGCAATAATAGTAGTAAGTATTTGTTGAGCTCTTTTAAGTGCCAAACAAGACTTTGCTACACGCTTGGCCGTGATTTCTCACCTGATCCTCACAGCAGCCAGGGAGGTGTCCTCATTTTGTTGAGGAAGCTCCCTGTGCTTTTGTACCTGGGGCCAATTTTGGATTCTGCTCTGCATATTTGGCTTCTTTATTTGCTCACACTCTCAGCTGGTCTGGACTCTTGGACTAAAGCTGGCCTCCCTAAAGCCAACTCCATGCCCTTGCTTGTTGTCTCTTTGGGCTCGCGGCAGCCCTCCGACCTGTCCTGCTCTAATGCTTTGCTTAACTATCATGGGAGATGCCTGGTTAGATCACCTGGCTTCCCTCTGTGGTGTGACATGGGACATCAAAGGAGGAGTAAGGTTTACCTTGTCCTCAACGTATAGCTAAAACTCCTTGAGTCAGCTGGAGCTAACTCACTTTTCTCCCTTATAGTCTGTTTAGATGGTTTTAAAAAGTCAGCTCCTAAATTCCCAGCCTTGACCAGCGGTCACTGACATTCTTACTCTGTAAGGTGTCCCCATGGTCATCTACTCACCATGCAGAAGGTCTTTCCACTCTCGAGAATTGGCCGGTACCCAGTGCAGCGGCACAGATTGCCTGATAAAATAAGAGGCGTGAGTATCAGTAGGCTTTTTTTTCACTGGTTTCTTTGGAAAGCTAAAATAGACCCCATTCTTCTCTCTGGGGTGAACTGCAGCTACTTTAGAAACAACCAAGGGGGTCCTCGAGTGGGGCTGGGGTGACATTGTGGACGGGATGGAGCAGCTGGAGGCACACTTCTCACCTGGCTTTGGGGGTGGTGAGTATTCTCCATGTCAAACCTACCTCCCAGGGCTTCCATGAGCTGCTCCTCTGAGGGCTGTGGGTGGTTCCTGAGCAGTGTGTACATGGACATCACCATCCCAGGGGTGCAGAATCCACACTGGGTGCCGTGGCTCTTGGCGATCCTCTCCTGCAAGGACACACACATGGTCACAGTACCTGCCTCCCTGATGCCACCACCTCTCACCAGGCTCCACATCTTGCATCTCCACTGAGGGGAAGAGCTCATTCCCTAAGCAGTGCCCTCCTCCCCTCCATCAGAGGTGGCCAGTGTCCCCTCTCCTACTCTGCTCCAGGAAGAAGCCACTCAGAAGCCATTTGCTATCCCTACAATCATTTCTCAGGCTCAAATGCCCAGATCTTTCTCATTGGGAATTAGCAGCATGCAGCCTTCCTTGCCAGAGTGAGAAGAATTCTCCCAGGCAGCACAGTCAATTCAGCATTAAAAAGACCAAGAAGTGAGAATGTTAACATATGCTCTTACCTGCACAGGGTGAAGCTTGGTTTTGATGCTTCCCACACCTTCCACAGTGGTGACAGCAGCTCCGTAGAGAGAGCAGATGGGCATCAGGCATGCGGTGATGGAGAAGTGTCTTTGAATGAGAAATACAAGGAAAATCAAGGGGAATAACATGGTTCTGCCTCCTGGGGAACCCTGGGACCAATAAGGGCAGCAGGAACCCCTCCCCCGCCCCCCAACCAGAGGCCTATCATTCAGCCTGGGAGATGGGGGACTGGACGGGGGCAGGTGGAAGAATTAGAGTCCCCTCTGCTGACTCGGTGCTATCTTCAAGAAGTGGGGATCCTCCAGGGAAAGATGGGCATTCTGAACTTCAGAAAACTTTCCAAGCTCAGAACAGACTACCTGGGTCTGGCCTCAATGGGAATGGACTTGTGTCATCAGGAGTAGTATTGGACCTCAATAGGTATCCCTTAGGACATTGACCCCATAACAGGCAAGAGGCACACCTGTGCCTTTTACCCATATTCATGAATTTATTTTGCTTGTTAATTTTAACTTCCCTGTATAAGGTCGCTCAACAATGTTGGATGGTTTTGTTCTGAAGGCATTTCTTGGGCCAGTAGATTTGGGAACAGCCAAAGTTCTGGAATCTAGTCCTTAATTTAAGGATGGAATTATGGCCCAGGTCCCTGCTCTGCAGGGTTGGCCCAGCCCAACAGTAGGAATGGCATTAGTGCCAGCCAAAATGGGTGGGCTCAAGTCCTATGACTTACTGGTTGCATGACCTTAAACAAGTCACTACATATTGTTGAGCCTTAGTTTCCTCATCTGTGAGATGAGTGGTTGAACTAAATTGGGGTTTCTTAACTTGGGATGCACACATGGGCTGTGGGAAATCCATGATCTCCCTGAAAGTGTGTGCAAAATGTAATCAATGAATGCATTTTCCGAGAAGACAGTTCACAGCTGTTATCAGATTTTTGGAAGGGCCTGAGATCCAGGGCGTGGAGATCTTCCTTAGCTGTGAGATGAGACTAGAAGCCTGGCAAAGAAACGAAACCCTCCCCTAGCTCTGGGTTTCTGGGCAGGATACCTTATCTTCTTGGACACAGGGTCACACTTGGACACCATCACGGTACAGGCGCCGCAGCTCCCTCTGCCGCAGGCGTACTTGGTTCCTGTGAGACCTACTGGAGGGAGGTGGTCAAGGAAAAGATGCCCGGGTGGACCTGTGGCTGCCATGATAGCTGCCTCCCTAGGGTGTTGCTAGCAAGGAAAGACAGGGATGCACGTCTGAGAAGTCACTCGCCTCCAGGCCTCAGTAAGGACCTCTCCGTACTGTGTCAGCTGTGGGACACATTCTATTAACCTCTCCCTGCCTGCTTTCTCATTTGCAAAGAGGGAAAGTGATACCCACATTATCTTCACCTGCTCACCATAAGCAGCTTGGAGGAGAGTGGATATAAAAGTAAAAGCCCTTTGAAAAAGTCTGTTTCATGACAAGTACGCTTCTGGGTTCTAATCACGTCATTGGGAGAGAACTTATTGTTAGCAGTTCAATGTATCACTAGTTTTGCCCAGTAGTTTGTATTGCATTTGAATGCCAGTGACTGAGCCTTTGGAGAAGACCCCTGCCCTTATTTTCATAAACTACCTTGAATGTCCTGCTCCTGCTTGGTCCAGGTTCAAGTCCAGGTCTAGACTCAGCCTCTGCTCCCTCTCTTTCATCAGCCTTCTCCCTAATTGTGGCCCATTTCCACAAAATTTAGGGGATTGGATATACTTAACTAGTGGCTAAGAAGAGTTTAGAGTCACTGACTTTTTTTTTTTTAAAGCCATAGGGCTTATTCGCGTAAACTGTCATAACCTTAAGTGCTTTTAAGGGAGGTTGTGTGAACCAGTGGAGTGGGTCAGGTGTACCTGGAGAGCTCATGTCCCACTTTTCATAGGGGCCTGGGACAGTCCCCACTCACCTCTAAGCCAGACTGTAGCCACACAGGAATGACTAGCTTCCCATTTTTCATGAGAAGCTAAAAATCCTGTTTTTTAAAACCATGGGATTTCCTAATTTTCAAACATTGACAACTAATTAAATCCATGTGAGCTTTTAACCAACACTAGTTTAGGGGCTGATTCCCTCAATTTGCAGTTTCTGTCTTTTTTTTTTTTTTTTTTTGGCTTCCCTGAGTGACCCATCAGACTTATCCGTTAAAATATGTTTGCCATGATGATGGCCTAAATTTCAGAATATAAAATGGTGAGGGAAAATCGGCTGTAAGGAAACAGATGTAGATCTTTTTCTATGACACATGTTCTTCCTGAATCTGGAAAACTTGGTTTCTTTCCAGGGCAGGGTGCCTGAAACACAAGCCTCTATTACATAACCGCCCTCCCAGGACCGGAAGGCCCTTAAGGGAGTAATTAGTGCTGAAGTAAAGAGCTTAGCTTCTGTTTCACTGCTGTGAGATCAAGACATGAGAAATTCTGGGGAAACTTCATCCTCTGTAAATAGCCCTGTTAACTTAATATCCTTAAAACCATTGCCAAAGCAAAGAGAGAGCAAGGGCCAAGGGGCTGACTGTTTGGGGAAGGAGAGTTTGATTAGTTCTCATAATCACAGCAGGCCTGACTTTTAAGGCAAACACAGACATGGCCAAGACTTTGGTCAAAAGGGTCCAGTTCTTTCGTAGGAAGGTCAGCAGAGTGACTTCTGGGTCCGCATTTCTCTCTATAACCTGCGGTGAAACCAGAAAAGAGATTATTATGAGGACTGAATCAATGACCTAGTGGTCGGCAAACTCATTAGTCAACAGAGCCAAGTATCAACAGTACAACGATAGAAATTTCTTTTGAGAGCCAAATTTTTTAAACTTAAACTATATAGGTAGGTACATTGTTATTCACTTAATTAGGGTGCTCCTAAGGCTTAGGAAGAGCCACACTCAAGGGGCCAAAGAGCTGCATGTGGCTGGCGAGCCGCAGTTTGCCGACCACGGATAGTGGAACGTCTGTCATGGCCAGCTGGGTTCAGGGATTGGGGTAAAATACTAGGCCTGGTTTCATCTGCCCCTGCTTTTTAGTGCTCCCACGGCAAACGACCTTCACGCGTATTTACAGAGCAGGAGACTCACCAAGCAAGTGTGGCGCCTATGCTCTGTGAGGTGATGAGAGCTGGAACCACTGCTGTGCAAGGGGCCCTGGGGCGGTGTTCTCTCTGTTTGATCCACTATCGGCTTTTGTGGAATTTTCCAACCAAGTCTTTTCTACTCTTGAAATATTTTAACCTGGGAGAGACTTGGATGCTGTGTATGTGCGTGCATGTATGTTTATGTATGCATGCATGTGTGTGTATGTGTGTGTGTGTTTAATGAAGGATCCAGGAGGGAAGAAAGCTGGGTAGGAAGAGTTTCTATTCCGGTACCTCTGAGACACTTCTAGTGGGGAGTCCATGTAGTAACATCAGGGATCTTAAGAGTTGGTGGCAGGAAGGGGAGGCAGAGAGGGCTGCTGTCATCAGGAGAGGCCCTAGTGCATGCCAGTGTGGTGAGTGGTGATGGTGGAGTCTTGTTGCCCCAGCTCAGGATCCCGGGTGGCTTTGGTGGGACCCTAGCATCTCTCCCTCCCTCACCTTAAAAAGTGGGGGGTTCATCCCTAAAAGCCATGGAGGAACCTTGTTTGGTGCTTCTCTCTCGTTTGCTTATTTGAGGATATTTCCTTTGACTGTCCTGCAAACACCTCCAGCCATTCTCTTGCATCAGAGGAAAGACAGATTCAGCTAATTATGTTAGGATCTTCCATTCTCCCTGGACGAAAAACCTGACCTAGTGTAGACCCCCAGGAATAAAAATAGTACAGGAAGATGCTTCCAAGTGGAGATATTAAAATTCACCTGCTTTTTTGCCGACTGAAGGGTCAAGGGCACATGCCTGGGTTGTGGGCCCGATCCCCAGTGGGGAGCATGCAGGAGGTGGCCGATCAATGATTCTCTTTCATCATTGATGTTTCTGTCTCTCTCCCCATCTCTGAAATATATATAACAAAATTCACCTACTTTCTGGAGCTCGAGGGGTCTCCTGCTCAACAAAAGAAGAAGCCTTTCTCTGCACTTCCTCCCACCCCAGGTCCTTCAAACACTTCTCCTGAGAATGCGGTTGGATAATGTTTTCATTATCTAGCTGACTCCAATCCCCACCACACACATCTGTAGTTTCTCCAACTCTCAACTTCCTCCCTGTTCTAGTTGCAGCTACTTCGTTTGGAGCTCATGACTCACAGAGGATGTGGAACAGAAAACAGAGGAAGGAGCCTCTGAAGTCTAGGGCAGTGGAACAAGCGAGTAAGGACTCAGCTCATAAGAGATAGTTTTGGAAGAATGTCTGGGGGTTGCTGGCTGGGGAGATTGGACACAGGATGGAGAGTTAGAAGGGAAATGATGAGAATGTAGAGGTTCTATGTTCTATCTCCTTTCTTGATCCAAGCCCTGGCATGGGCAGTGGGTTAACATGGCCAAGTCCCAATTAGGTTTATGGGACTAGAGAGCTGAGGGGTCCTAAAGGACAGGTGGTGAGACCCAAGGGAAGCCACCTGCCTTGGGAGGTGGCTTAATGGTCCCATTAAGGATCAGAGAGGGGATCAGGAGAGGAGGGGGCCTGGCAGAGGGCACTGAGGGTTGACTGTGTGGATGGATGGTGAGGACTAGAGGGAGGGATGCCAGGGAGACTGACAAAGGGAGACCCTCTCTCCTTGTCATATAGGTTCCTCCTGGAACGTAGCCACAGCCCAGGGAAAGAAGGGACCCAATATGGACTGTAATTACATTTTACCCAGGTCTGTATAATGGAGACTCAACAGAAAAAATAAATTGATAAAGAGAAAAATAAAGGAAGCTCTGTTTCTCCTCCTGAGTTTGAGGATCAACATAGCCCACGAGATAAAGTGCTTCCAGCATATCAGGCTCAGTGTTCGGTGATTTACAAGTTTGAGGGGATTCCTAATCAGTGAAAGAAGCACCTCTCGTTTAATCTTGACAACCGCCACAGGAAGTGGGTTCTGAGAAGGGTGCTCTGAGGCCCAGGGAGGGGAAGTAACTCGCATAAGTTTATACAGTAAATGGCAGAGCTGGACTGGACCCAAGACTGATACCGAGGCACCTGCAATTAACCCAGTGCTTTCCTGTTGCCCACATCCCGGAGGCAGAGCCATGACCAAATCAGTATGGGTTCCAGTCCCTGGCTTCTTTCTCCCTTTCTGGAGGAGCCTCAACCCAAATGGGCCACAAAGGCTCCCCTCCAGCTAGTAGTTTCCTGTGGTCTCAAGCACTGGTCGTAACACCCAACACTTACCTTCCGCCCGTTCACAAAGAAAACCAACTCATCGGATTGCGGCAGGTCAAGCATCACACCTGTAAACAGGTTTCACCTTACAATTCTAGGTGGGTATGCTCTTTGGCACCAGCCACGGGGCTGAGCACCAAGGATCCAGGTCCAAGCACTGAAATCCTTCCTTGTGTGGAAGTTGGCAGTTGGAGTCCAGAGAGCAGACTCCTTGGCCTCGTGGCCTTTTAAGTCTAGAGCACCTGTGTGGTCCCGCCTCTTACCTTGTGCCTCACTCTGCCTCCCACCAATCCTGGCTTTAAAGCTTGCTCTGTGCATGGCCCACTTCCCTTCTTGCTTACTCTGAGGTTGGAGGGCCTCAGTGTGAAAACCATACACAACCATTTAAGCTCAAACCCACTTTGTGCACTGCCTCATCCCCTGGATGGGTTCCTTCTTCTCAAAGAGAGAGAAGTGGACCTCCCACTTTTTCCAACTCTGATCTCATTCTAATTGCAGAAATGTCTCCTTGTGGGAAGTCAAATGGACAATTCCCGTCTGTGCCCTAAAGTGGAGTGTGGGGTGCTGCATTCACCCAGCCCCTCTTTACCCTTCCTCCTTCCTCCCCACCCGCAGGATTGGTCCACTGGAAAATAGTGATGTAGTCAAGGCAACCACTTTACAGATTAGTAAACAGAGGCTCAGATAGGTAAGACCAGTAGCTCTGGACCATGCAGAACGTAAGTGGCAAAGTGGGAACTATAACAAAGGTCTCCTGGATTTAAATACCTGTGAGCATATAGACAGATCCCTTTCTTGATCAAAAGAACAATATCATTTTGATCTTTCTGAGTATCTCCAGTTAGATGTCTGGAGCTAAAGTCAAGCAATTCTTATTCTTTCAACTGAAGCAATGCCCAGGACTTGGCC